ACGTTTGACGTTTTTCCCCACGGATTTTTCACGAATAAGATAATATGAGTTAAATAAATGATACTAATAAACTAGAACAAAAACTAACCATTCTTTATAAATGGTTTCTCTTTTTCTTTAGTCTTCACAGGCACGATCATCAATCATCTACAAAAAAGAAAAACGAAACAAAAAACAGGAAACTTTATTCTAGAATAATAAATTTATATTAACCAATGACAATAAATGAAGCAGTAAAATGTACCCCCAAACCAGCAATAAATTGATATATTAAGTGTTTTCCCATATGCAGTAAATATTCTTAAAATGAAACTAAATTGATAATTTCAACCCCCAATAAAGCCGTAAAATTAATAATTTCAAAGTAGTAAATTAATAAAAATTGCCTAAAAAATTAAAGCATTACTAACAATTTCAAAGACACTTCTTTGTAGTTTCAAATATTCACTCGCCCACAATCCTATTTGCAGCCCCAGAACATCAACATGAGAAAAATTCGCGTCCTAACTCAAACCTCTGAAATCCACCAAAAAACAAGGAGTTTGGCCATATTTTTTCAAAACTAGGGTCAAAAATCAAAATTTTAAGAACGTTAGGCCCTAGAGATGATTATTGGCTATGACTGGGATAAAAATTAGATGAATACATTTTGAATTGCGCTAGGGAGAAATTTTTTAAGATTTCAATATAATGAAAAACAAAGAAAATGCATAGCGAAAAAATTGTATACTAACAGAGTTTGAGCGTAGCAGTACTTTACGCCCCGATAAACACTCATTGCAACCTCCACCGAATACACCTATTTAGTATTATGCAATGATTGCATAACATGCCAATTAAACAAAAATACACAAGGTTATTGTCAACCCACTAAAGAATCAATATGTTATAATCTACCACCTCATAATCACGATGAAGATCACTTTCATCAACCACAAATTTTAAAATTAGCTTCCGGTACACACACCAAATGTATTTCAAACAGAGAGAAAAAACAAATTGAATTTTACCAAAAAGGAGCAAAAAAAATATTACAGAGACAAAATATTAATTCCCAAAAAATTCTCGATTCACACCAGTTACAAACTTAAAAATCGGAACATACGTTTTAATTCTAAATTTTACAACACAAAAAGGATCTTCTAAAAACTTACAGCCACTCCGAAAAGGACCATATCAAATAATTGATAAACCCACTGATAGTCCACCTTGATATCGCAAAGAGTACTCTTTTCTCGAGCTGACTCAATAATACTCCTTTACAGGACTCAAAGTTTTTCACAATAACTCCAATTATAAATAAAATCAAAGCACTGATATGAATTCTATCCAAAAACCATTAGAACAAAAAAAATAAAAAAAGAACTTAACAAGCAAAATCTCAAAAGTTAGACAACAAAAAGATAACTCAATTAGAAAGAAAAAATCGAAAATTAGAAGAAAAAATTTTACCACAAGATCAAAATAAAAAATCTCAACATAGACAATCATCGCGACTTCGAAGTCAGCCACGAAAAGATTATAAAACATTCATTCCACAATCTGAAATAATAAAGAAAAATGAAATTCAGAAACCACTTTAAAATTAAATAACATTTTCACCTCTTGAAAGAGCTTTCAAACACCCATAAATTTTCTCAAAATTCATGCTGGAAAGCACTTAAACAAACTAGTTAAAATTCAGCCGATATGAAGTTTTCCAAATCATCACCTTATTTTTGACACGACTTCTTTAGCCGACAAACACTCACCTTCAAGCGTATCTCTAACTATTACTAAAAGACTTCCAGCTCATAAATAAGCAAACCGCCGAAAATTGAGACCTGAAATAAACAAAATCTCAATATTACAACCCTCCTCTATCGAGTAGAACAAAGATCAACAATATTGTCTCAACGCAGAACTCAAAACTCACTCAAAAAAAATAAGTTTGCCCAAAGAACAAAATGGACATGATCATTTAGCCTAAAGTACAAATATCTCTTAGATACCCCAATCATCCAATAAATAAAAACAAAACTAGGAAGACCCTTAAGAGCCCTCAAAACTTCCCTCAACTAAAACCTTCAACGTAGACGAATCCGGCCCACTAATCGTCCCACACGAATTCCTACAGCCCGTTGAAATCCCGATCCTAGAATTCATCAATAACACCAGGTATAACCATAAACTTAATAACCTCATCCAAAAAACACCTTATGAACTCTCACCTTGCACTGAAGAGCACCAAATCATTAAAGCATTCGAGTTGCCTTGGCCACTTCTCCAAACTAAATACATCATTCGTTTGTTAGCTAAGTTACTAACATCAGCAGAAATCATCCACGACGTTTGACGTTTTTCCCCACGGATTTTTCACGAATAAGATAATATGAGTTAAATAAATGATACTAATAAACTAGAACAAAAACTAACCATTCTTTATAAATGGTTTTTCTTTTTCTTTAGTCTTCACAGGCACGATGATCAATCATCTACAAAAAAGAAAAACGAAACAAAAAACAGGAAACTTTATTCTAGAATTTATATTAACCAATGACAATAAATGAAGCAGTAAAATGTACCCCCAAACCAGCAATAAATTGATATATAAACTCTTTTCCCATATGCAGTAAATATTCTTAAAATGAAAATAAATTGATAATTTCAACCCCTCAATAAAGCTGTAAAATTAATAATTTCAAAGTAGTAATTTAATAAAAAATTGCCCAAAAAATTAAAGCATTACTAACCTTTTCAAAGACGCTTCTTTGTAATTTTAAATATTCACTCGCCCACAATCCTATCCACAATCGCACAGCTCGCCCACGAAGAATTGTTTAAAATAATGAAATTAAGTTTTCACTTTCACTGATAACAACTCTACCCAGTCTTAACACATTTCAAACTTTCCTTTAACCCGGTTGGAAAGGAATATTATAATATTCCAAACTAACCAACGCAGCTTACTAAACACCACAAACCACAACCTAACAGCATGACTAAGAGAAGAAAACCCACGGTACCCAAACCGGATTAGAACCAGCTTAGAACTGGATAATTTATTCTTTTGAAGACTCTTTAGAATAACCAAACTAAACAAGAACGCTTTTGCGATAAAAATTAATACAAGATCGTAACCTGAAAAAAATTGACAAAGTTTTGCATATGTAAATAATACAATGCAGTATATAGACTACATACAACCCAAATTCGAGCAGCAAGGCACTTGACAACCCAATCACACTCCAACTACAGAATGGCAAAACACACCCGATATGCTGCCTACAGTCACTACACTCAAAGGATTTAAAGTACGACTTGGCATCGCAACAAAGGAAACCCACTGAAACAGAACATTGGCCATCTCAATGTTCAAGTATACGTACAGATCCAAGTCAGCAGGCACTTCATCCAAAGTCAAACTACATGACACATCCGAACGAGATTGGAACATTGCTATTCTCTAATAAACCAAATCAACACTCATCACAACCGATCAGAAATCATGATACGATCTCCCGAAACGATCGTGATAACAATCCTTCTTCCAAATCAGAAAAAAGAATATGCTCGCAACTTCTAAAGAAAGACACCATCATCTATCCTCCACTACAGTAGAACACTGAAGAACTAAAACTCTGTAAAACCCGGATGGGTGGAATCAGATCTAAACTAGAATTTATTATTGGATATTATTTTGATATTTTATCTTTATAAAATGGTGAAAACTAACCAATCATACTCCATCAAACTAACAAGCCACTTATTTGTAAGTGCTGAAACTACTTGTAGTTTCAGCACCAGAGAAATTTGAATTAAGCTTAGAATACAGTTGTTCTCATTCTGGACCTAAATCATATAAACCGGTGTACACTAGATCTATTGAGACTAGGAGATATAAGAGTAAGATTAAGATTGATATTGGACTAAGAAGTTGCATGAATCTATCAGGCCGAAAATAAGATAGCGTGACGAGCAGACGATGTACCTTATCTGAAATTACTCTATGAGTTTAACCAATAGGTCATAACTCAAAACGTAAATTGACGATTTATGTATTACCCCCCCCCCCCCATACGCCACCTCCTCTCCCCCCCCCCCCCCCCCTCCTGGCCTCGTATGAGTATCAATGAAGCGAAACAAGGAAAGTGAAAAAAAATCCATTTTAATGTGATTTTCTAGTTTTATATAATCCATTATAATGGATTTCAAATGAATTCTAATGCATATAATTTTTGCGAAATAAATTGGATTTAAATCCATTCATAGTCCAATTTTGTTGTCTGAGCGAAACATGGGAATCGATTAAATTTACAACATTCTAGACCGCGAAAATCCCTTATAGTCGATTTGTTTTCACTTTTCTTAAATGCGGGTATATTTTGTAAATTTAGAGAACATTTTAGTTTCACTTCTGATGCAAACGATAGTTATGGCGAAAATTTTTAAATTTTTGAATCATTTTTCTTACTATTTCCCCATATGGTACCTAAGATATGGTTGCTAACACAAAAAAATATTGAAATCAACAGTTATGCTTATGTGAATTTTGTACCTAGTAAGTAACAAGCCCTCCTTTGCAATAGCTAACAAGATCCAATGTTTTGGCGATCAAAATTTATTGTGTGCTCGCCTGCGGAATTGTTTTGAAATTTCCGTTTGGGCTTGCGATTTTGCGCATGCGTTTGGAACGGGTCGAAAATTTAATTCAGCTAGAAAGTTTGATTTCATGAAATGGCAATTTGCGACCATGAAAGGCACGAGGAAATATGATATTTAAACTTGAATGGCTGGCTTTGCAAATCTTTTTTTTTGCATCTTGTTGGGGTTCTGTTGGAGGTTTCTTTCAGTGTTGTATGATTTAACAAGAGATCTCTTAAACTGTTTTCCCCCTAGGGTATCTTGTAACGAATCCCCCTATATAAAAAATAAATCAATGGTTAGGCTTAGGCATATGAGAATTTTGTACCTAGTAATGAATCCCCCAAAAGGGGGATAGTTAAAGAGACCTTTTGCAGGTTCTCATCCTCATGTTTGTGGCATTTCTCTGTGCAAACTTCCCCTGGTTTCTGCTTGTCACTTTCGACTTCAACGACACCGCCCACCACGGGTTCTACTACATCGTCACCTGGGTGATCCACTCAGCCACTCTTCTCAACCCCCTCATCTATGCTGCCAAGTACCCCCAGTTTCGAACCTCCTTCAACAAACTCCTGACCATGGCATGTTGTCTCAATCGCAGAGGCCGACCTCTGGTTCGCTCCGAGAACATACGTCTGGTGAAGCGAATCTCAAGCCAGCTGCATCTGCGGAAAGATCCAGTGGATGATTCAACAGTCCCGTTGGAGCCCAAAAGCAACCCTTTTTGAGTGTTTTAATGGTAATTTTATCGGTGGTAGACAAATTTAAACTATCATTGTTTTAGTTTTTTTTTGGCAAAAAGCTGTCTTTTTTATCAGACAAAATCTTAAATTGCGTAAGCTGATGCGAAATTTTGTCAGGCTGCAACAATTTTGAATCAAATTTTTTTAAGGTTTTGTAGATTTTTTTCTCGAATTGAAACGATATGACCGTTAGACCGTTAGGCTGATTGAGTTTTTTGTTACAATTGTTGTTTACCGTTCAGATTGGTGATTGATCCGGTTAATGTAGCAAAAGCACAAGCAAATTGGTCAGTACGCCGAAGCTCAGATAGCTGAAAGTTATTATGTGATGAATCTGATCTGATAAGAAAAACTTATGCCCTAAAAAAAAATATAATTAAAATTAAGCTATCATATTGCTCCCAAAAACGCAATTAGACAAAAGTATTTTACTTATAAACAGCCAAAGTTAATCAATGCTTACTTTAATTGATAAAATTTCGAACTTTTGGTCATACCAGCCGCCTTCAACTTTCTGCGCCCAACCTTTTTCCATGTCATAGTTTTTTCCACTCTTGATGAAAGAGTTAATTTAAGGCTATAATTCGTCAAAAATGTCTTTCTGATTGGAAAAGTCACAAACATTATAGTGGAAAAAATCAACCGAAAGCATCAAATGCGAAATCATTTTTTGGGTAAACCTAATAGATAAATTTGACTTACAAAGTTTTAAAATTAAGCGTGCTCTAAGTCAACTCCAAGTTAAAGTTTTCTTTTTAAAGATGAATTTTTTGCAGCCGATTTAAAAATAGAAGCAGATGTGCCACACAACTCGTTCAGTTTAACTGATTTGAGACCAGGTAATTGGTCCTAAATTGGGTCACATCACGATAATTCATTCATATTGCTCCCAATGTGGCATTGCGGCGCTCCGGTAGTGATGATGCCCAGTAATCATATGATTGCTGGTTCAAATCGCACGTGCGCTGCAGTTTGTAAGGTGAGCTCTTGCAAGTAATTCATAGCTTAAAGGGCTCTGAATATATGCGCTCATGTCAACCTAAAAAACTAACCTCCGGATTGGGCCTCCGGGCTGGTTGACTAAATATATACCTACCTATGTGATAACCAGTGGAAAGTTTATAATTTTTTGTCATGAAGCAAGTACGAATTGCAAAACAACGAGTCTTAAATCATTTTTTTATTAGGCAACCTTTGAAAACTGGAAAAAAAGGTGGCGGATAAGTTTAGTGGTTTTATTGGTTTCAATATGCTAGACTCCATACGCTTTAATTTTCTGTAAGCTTTTGAAAAAAAAATTTTCATTCTGCGGAACTATTTGTTTCGAGCCAATTTTAAGTAACTTTGTTTTGATAGCAATAATTCAAAAATCAAATCAATTTGAAAAATTTTGTTTTCAATAAATATATTTTCCCAATTTTAAATGATCGCATTAAAATCACCATGTCTCCTTTTTCTACCAATCAAATTCAAGTTTTCAGAAATTTGTCTGCCTGCTGGTAAGTTTGAAATGAAGATTATGTGCTGACTGACCGACCACACATTCTGTTGTTATAACATGAATTTGCGCGATATGTCTCAATTACGTAATTATTCCAGGAACAAAAAAAAAACGATTTACAACACACTGTTTTATTAATACCGCTTGATGTCATATCGTTGTTTGCCCAATATAAAGTGCATTTTTCTCAATTTTGAGCAGTTTCAACAAAAATAAAAAATGAAAAAAATGCACATATTGTCAAGTTTATACTGTGGAGTTGTAATTTTACTCCAATAATTTAAATATGAAATTTTTGAAATAAACTTTGATGTAACTGATGTTATTGCAAATTGTAAGCTACCAGCTGCGTTTGAGATTTGATGTGATTTCTTGATATTTATTAGCATGTCCTTTTTCTTTTATGTAATTTTTTCTGGCCTACTAAAGTGCTGAAAATCATTTACCCTGAGCTGCTTTACTTGTACTTATTTTCATGTCTCCCGCCCCTTTCACTCTTAAGCATATCTGCTGCATAAATTGAAGTATTTTAAAGGCGCTCTTGCAAGTAATTCATAGCTTAAAGGGCTCTGAATATATGCGCTCATGTCAACCTAAAAAACTAACCTCCGGATTGGGCCTCCGGGCTGGTTGACTAAATATATACCTACCTATGTGATAACCAGTGGAAAGTTTATAATTTTTTGTCATGAAGCAAGTACGAATTGCAAAACAACGAGTCTTAAATCATTTTTTTATTAGGCAACCTTTGAAAACTGGAAAAAAAGGTGGCGGATAAGTTTAGTGGTTTTATTGGTTTCAATATGCTAGACTCCATACGCTTTAATTTTCTGTAAGCTTTTGAAAAAAAAATTTTCATTCTGCGGAACTATTTGTTTCGAGCCAATTTTAAGTAACTTTGTTTTGATAGCAATAATTCAAAAATCAAATCAATTTGAAAAATTTTGTTTTCAATAAATATATTTTCCCAATTTTAAATGATCGCATTAAAATCACCATGTCTCCTTTTTCTACCAATCAAATTCAAGTTTTCAGAAATTTGTCTGCCTGCTGGTAAGTTTGAAATGAAGATTATGTGCTGACTGACCGACCACACATTCTGTTGTTATAACATGAATTTGCGCGATATGTCTCAATTACGTAATTATTCCAGGAACAAAAAAAAAACGATTTACAACACACTGTTTTATTAATACCGCTTGATGTCATATCGTTGTTTGCCCAATATAAAGTGCATTTTTCTCAATTTTGAGCAGTTTCAACAAAAATAAAAAATGAAAAAAATGCACATATTGTCAAGTTTATACTGTGGAGTTGTAATTTTACTCCAATAATTTAAATATGAAATTTTTGAAATAAACTTTGATGTAACTGATGTTATTGCAAATTGTAAGCTACCAGCTGCGTTTGAGATTTGATGTGATTTCTTGATATTTATTAGCATGTCCTTTTTCTTTTATGTAATTTTTTCTGGCCTACTAAAGTGCTGAAAATCATTTACCCTGAGCTGCTTTACTTGTACTTATTTTCATGTCTCCCGCCCCTTTCACTCTTAAGCATATCTGCTGCATAAATTGAAGTATTTTAAAGGCGCTGTTTAGTTTGCTGCGCAAATTGCGAAGGTTTTTTGTCATTGATTGTTGATCAGTTCAATGTTTTGTTTTTATTTTTTCTAAAATTTTTTATGAAGTGCTAGTAAAATAACTGCAAGTGAACAACAGGAGCCGTGGGGAGGGGCAGACTTGCCTTCTCCGGAAGTCGACCCCATGCTGGCCAAAGAACTATTTTTCAACCTCCAAATTTAACATTCGCGCTAATTTTACGATACTAATTTTTGAATGGAAATTGCATCAAAAAACTCCAGTAGGCGTGTCTGAAAAAACGCTAACTGAAAAAACAATGACAGAAAGAAAGAAAGATGACGCGGTGCCGAAATTATGAACATAATGGGTTCTTTTCAATCTTCTGGGAGAGTTCTTGGGGAGGTTCTCCAGAAGGAATTTTTGGACATTTTATCTTTTTTGAACACCCGCACCACTCGATTTAGTATATGTTGGAGCAAATCAGCCCAGGGGTGCTGAGCCCCATGTATTAACATAGGCTATAGAGTATCCGGTCAGCACCCTATGTCCTAAAAAGTACTCGCAAGTATTAAGATAGGTTTCAGAGTTTCAGATGGTGAAATGGTAAGTTTCGAAAAAAATCAAAAGAGTTTTGGCGCCCGAGTTTGCCGACACAGCAATCTTTAAGATTCTAAAGGGGAATGTTAAATGTCATAAGTATTATGACAGGAAAAGATATCTCGACGTCCTATAATAGTTTTTCGGTTGTTAAATTTCAGATGGCAAGTTGTTTGTGCAAAAATATCATTGTGGAAAAAATCTCTTGTTTTTGGTGAAAATCTCAATTTTTCGAAATTATCAGAAATCTCAAGATTATGGCTAATTTTTGTAATCCTTCTTCATCTAATCATAGAAAATCACTGCTATTTTATGTCAAAGTTGTGAAAACCCAAATTGTTGATTAATTGGTATCATGTTAAGACAATGACACAGAAATTTGATTGAAAATATGAGTTTTTTTCTTCGTTTTTTTCTCAAAAATAAAAAAACGATAAAAATTTGATCAAAAGTAACAATGATGCGTGTTTTATGGTGTTGTGGATACTAGAAAGAACGCTACGACCAGCTCTCCCAATACTTGTATAATTGGTATCAAGTTAAGACAATGACACAAAAAATTGATTAAAAATATGAGTTTTTCCTTCATTTTTTCCTCAAAAAAAATATTATGAAAAATTTGATCTAAAATAACAATGATGCGTATTTAAAAGTTTGCGAATACTAGAAACAACGATACGATCAACTGAGCCCATGCTGAAACTTCCGAACTGTGGGAAGAATCGTGAAAAAAGCCACTTTTTTAATAAGTAAGTAAAAATGTTTCATATTAGACTCAGCATCTATCCAATTTTTCCCTTTTACACCTTTCAGATGTAATTTTAACAAGTTGTTAGTCAAGATAAAGGTGAATCTAGTTAACAATTTGATTTCCCTTGATCAATATTATCAATTCAATTTGAAATTTTATTTCAAAAAAAAAGTAGTTCATGATTTATATCTTGCTCGTTTTTTGTCAATGATTGAAAAGAATTCAAAAAATTAAAAAATTTCAAAAATTTTGCTTAAATGACACAAACTCGTGTTTTATCCGAGTGTTCATCACAATTATCATTTTGTATAGAAATTGGAAACTTTGAAGGAATTTTTAAAAAAATTTTCAAAAACTACATCTGTTATTAGACAAAATTCGTTCAGTTTTGTAGAAACTATACACTTTTTCCCAAACTCCACTATTTTTCTGCTTATCAAACCGTACTAGTGCTGAAACCATCTTTGCAGAAGCTAAACATAAGCATGTTAGAACAAAATTTCTTCATAACTGATCATAATTTCTCTTTTGCTTCTACAACCTAATTTATCATGATTTTTCGAGGAAGGTTTTTTTTCTAAAATAACTCCT